ACAGAGCAACCTGAGAGTAAACCATGAGCATTTGACTCAATTAAAGATGACTTGAGCCACGAAACGATCTTCGACATTGGATCAGCCCACACTCTGGTCTCTGCGGCCTTCCCTTTCCATCTCAGCCCCATTGACTAATCCTTGATCTGCATTATCAGAATCAAAGAAGAACTTTTTTTTTTCTCTTCTGCAAAAAGTACAGGGAGAAGAACTTCCAAACCAATCAATTTCAGCTAGTTGCTACTTCAATAAAAATCTGAACAAAACTGAAAAGCAAGAAAGTGTTTGGATCACGGAAATCTGATCGAACATCTTTCCAGAGGGAATGTACAGTCTTTACATGCACTCATCTGGCAAAATTCAATCAGGCTGACAAACTTCTAAGCAATGACATGATATATGCAACGCAAGAACAAGCACAAAAGATTAATATTAAGCATCTAAGGAGGTAGCTAAATTAATATTTAATAAGATACAAGTCTTTCGAACTTTATTTATAAGATTTTCAGCTGTCTGTGCTTTGAAAAAGCACCAGCAGGCGCTGAAACTGTAGGTTTGAATATTGAGAAGTTCCAAGGAAAGTTCTTTGGGTCATTAGTTCTTGACAGGACAGGAGAAAATGAGTCAAATCCAACATAAATTTAGTGAGACAAACCCGAATATGATACGATATACGAATATGATTGCTCCAGGCCCTCAAAACAAACGTGACTGGATTCATTTTGACCAGTTTTTAGCGGGGGAGGGGGGAGTTTATCATCATGCAATACATTTTAGTAACAGGCGAACACGATAACACGGCACAAATTTAACTGCCTTGGCATTAATGCCGATTCCTGCACGAAGCTTAGACCTGATCAAAGGCATGGCTGGCCGTGGGGCCGCCCAAGCACGGCCCGAGCCACAATGCTGAAAGACATTTTTGGGTGGGCTTGTGCAAGCGCTTTTAGTGAGAAAGCCCGGCCCGATCCTAAATCCCGCCCGGGCTGGCCCGAAGATTCATAAGAATCAATATAATGGGTGGGCTCGGGCAAGAATTAGGCCTTGCCTTAAGGGCCGGGCCAGCCGGGCCTACTCATTGATCACCTATAGTTAGGCTTAACAGAGCACTAGATAATCTGCATAAACCCCTTGTCTATGGGGACCAATTGGATCCTAGAGATTGTCAGTATTGCTCATGGGCCGGACTGGGTGGGCTTCTATCAAAATTGAAGCCCGGCCCGAACATATCGAGCCTGCTATATCCGGGCACCGAGCTATTTGGCAACCAAACCAAACCGGGCCAAGCCGGAGATTGCCCATGAATTCTTGAACTTTTCTAATTAGTCACTTTTTGAAAATGCATATATCAACCGATTTTTTCAAGTTTGTTCACAAATCACAAGTGGGAAGAAATCTGTGAAAACCCGGGAACAACTTTCTGAAAGTTGTGAAGAGAAAAGCCTAACCCGTTAAACTTCTTTGAGATCCAGATGATTGAGCCGCTATTAGTACCCGTCGAGTTGCCAATGTAGAGTTGTGGTGGAGTGTGTGATGCGGCGAAGCAGCGGCGGTTGAGTGAGAGAAACGAGAGTGACTGTGGTGGAGGCCGCGATATTGAGATGAGAGGGCTAGAGAGGGACTGATGGATTCACTTGTGGTGGACCAGATTGAGCGGAATAAGTGAACTTCAGGAACTAAATTGAATAAAGAAAAATTCAGGAATTACATTAAACATAAAAAAATTTAAGGATTACTCATATCATAATTATCGTTACCAAATATCCCATATGAAAAAAATCCTCACCAAGGCTGGACAATCAATAGGCAATAACTTATGGACATATGACTTTTTCGGTGTGCACGCTCATTGCTCAAAGGCTTCTCTCTTGGTACACCACATTAATGCAATTAAACATTGGAATAACATTTCGGGCGTCCCAAACTAAAAAAATTCAAAATGCATCTCGTCGCAAAAGTTAAAATTAACGAAAAGTAGAAAATCTCTATCCAAGTACACCCATAAGCAATTGGAGATGGGTAGATTCACATGCAAATCTTTCATAATTTTTCAAAGTTTGGTAATTTTCCATATTTTGTCATAAAGCCAAAAAAGTAGAAGAGGTTGTGCCAGACATTTTATAGGCCAATAGGTAATTTTCGAGCTAATTAGGAAAGTTTTCCGGTACATTTGTACGGTGAAAAGTGCCCCCCAATAAATGAAACCGAACACAAAAGAAACCAAACACAGAATTACTGCGCCGGCGTGCGGCCGCCAACACTTCGCCACCAACTTCCCTCCCCTTCTTCTTCATCTTCTTCTGACAATTTCAGTCCGACATCACTGCTGAGATCCGAGGAATCACACGCCCGTCGCTTCACCGCCGCAAATGGAAGGAACCCACTTGATTCAACCGGCGGTTGCGGCTCTGGTCGCTTCTTTCGTGGCGTTCAGAGCTTACCGGCGGAAATCGCTCGACTTCTCGGGGGCAGTCGCCGGGTTCCTGGTCATGGCCGTCCATATCGCGGCTGGGTACAGGTGAATTCGACTGCTAGCTTTCTTGGGTTTCGGTGAACGGGATCGCTTGATGTTAGTCCAATGGGATTTCGATGGATTTCTTTTGTGGGTGTTTCGAATTTGGGTAGGTATGGAGCCATGTTGCTTGTTTTCTTCTTCACTTCATCCAAGTTGACCAAAGTTGGGGAGGAGAAGAAGCGCAAGGTTGACGCTGATTTCAAGGAGGGTGGACAGAGAAATTGGTAAATCATCACTCTCTCTCTCTCTTTGACACACACACACGCACTGTGCATGGTGGAAGTTCTTTTGCTTGGAAGCAATCGAAAAGTTCAATTTTTGTGCGGGCGTCGCTTGCAAATTGTAGGTGGGGTTATTGGTACAGCTTGGTTTGACCTGACTCGTAATTTATATTTAGCACTTTCCATGAATGCAATGCCTTCTTGCAATGAAAAAAAAAAGGGACAAAGTAGTTAGGAATTTTATTGATGTTTCTCATACTTAAAGCATAGTTATGATATTCAGGGATTGTTTCTTTGGTTACCTCTGAAGTCTGAAGTTATCTAAAGAATGTTGAATAAACAAACTGAGTGCCTTTTACAAACTTCTTTCGAACCTTGCAACCTCGACCAGTCCATCCAAAATGAAACCTTGCTTAGTATGTTGCTGAGTTGCACTCGGCATGTCTTCCCCATCTTCCATGCGCTCGCAGGCATAACTATGATCTTATTTGGGTACTGGTTATATGTCCAATGCCTAATTGACCTGTGAGGAGAATGCAGCTACTGTGGATCAAGTGCTTAGATTTATCAACGGTGATGTCCGTGATGGTTGCTTGACTTTTCTTATTAGGGTACAGGTCCTATCAAATAGCGCCATTGCTACGGTTCTCGTTGTGGTTATCTGGACATTAACTGGATGGAAGGATGAGTGTTTGGACTCCGGAAAATCGGCTCTGATTACATCTCTTATTGGTGGTGTAATTGGTCACTATTGTTGCTGTAATGGCGACACATGGTCTTCGGAGCTCGGAATTCTTAGTGACGAGCAGCCGCGACTGATCACGACCTTCAAGGTGTGTACATTCTGTTCTTTTTCCTTGTGCCCATTGCACTGTGGGAGTCTTCCCTTGCGAGTTGGAGTGTATCATCATTATCCCCTTCAGTTTTAGGCATCTGTTATATCAACTATCTGCAATTTCAGTACTAGGATACTGCGGCATTTGATTATGGCTTTTGGTGGAAAAAGAGTCTTGAGCTTTTAGCCATTGGCATGTTCGTGCCTGATGGATTTGCTCGTGAGCATTGACTTCAGTGGTTTTACTCGTTCCATCCGCTGAGGCATTGTAGGGCCTTCATACTTCAAGATTGCTAGCTGAAAATTGTTACAAATAAAGTCAGTTTCTACGAATGGAGTGATTGAGGAGGCTCCAAAGATTCATGAACTTTCCTCCTCTGAATTCTTTTGTACTCATGAACGTTCTCCTGATCATATTCATATATACAGTACGTCATTAAATCAGGTTCAATCCTACCCAGCAAGTAAGCAAGGAAAAGGGAAAACAGACAGCTGCCTTACCACTTACTCTGATTATTTATGCAAGAGAATAATATAGTTACTGTGAGAATTTTAATGTTGTCTCTAATTGTTATGTGTATTGCCAATAGCCTGTGCGGAAGGGCACGAATGGTGGTGTGACTGTTCAGGGACTAATGGCAGCTGCAGCGGCAGGTGCGGTAATAGGGATATCATTCGTGCTCGTAGGATTTCTCACAACAAAATGCACGCTGGATGTGGCTTTGAAGCAATTATTAGTGATACCCCTTTCCACCTTGGCGGGACTTTGTGGGAGTGTCATAGATTCTCTGCTTGGAGCCACGTTACAGTTCAGTGGATTCTGCACAGTTCGGAATAAGGTCTGTATACTAAAGTACTTGCGTCATCGACATGTTAAACCATTACATGCACTACAATATTCAAAATTACAAGACGTTTCACATGGTCTAACTGAAATTTTCGTGATTTGGAAATGTTTCTGCAGGTTGTTGGTAAACCGGGGCCGACAGTCAAGAGGATTTCAGGACTCAGCATTTTGGACAACAATGCTGTGAACCTCGTTTCAATATTGATGACCACTATGCTGACCTCCATCGCCTGCATGTACATCTTCTAAAGTCATCAGTTCTAACTGAATAATTCTGGATAGATCGCAGAGTTGGTTCTCACGGGGCCCTAACTGAATAACTCCTGCGAGACTGCAAAGTTCTTACAGGGCCCTATGCAATCACATAATTGTTCCTTTTGTAAGCTGTGAACCGGGCAAACCTAATAATCCTTCTGACGGTTCTCGAGTTGGCTACGAATTGAGGACATATTGAAGACAATTGTTTATCATCTTAACAACTTCAGCTAAACGCACTCTTTGCTCTTGGTTCATGTTGATTGCTTCTGCTACATCCCTCCCCTCCCCCCCCCCTCCCCCAAAAAAAAAAAGGAAGAAACTTTAGAGCAAACAGCTACTTTCAGCAGGGAAAAATTCTGATTTTTCTGGTTCTTATTATCGGGTAGAAGTAGGAAAGGAAGCACATGTAGCATGAAGTTTATTTTCGTTGCTTCCAATATTTTCTACTCATTTAGTTTCTTGACATAACTCGAGTCCCGAAGTACAAGCATTTCGCAGTTGGAAGTGCCCTCGTGGCCAAGAATTCGTATGCCTGAAATGGCATTCGCTCGGATCAGATTAAGAGAATCTGTTAACCCAGAATTCCTATGGAACACACCTAAAGCCTTATGAGTAATCAGATTGGCGAAGCTCGTCCTCACGGTTCATACCTCGCGGTGAGGGTTAGCCCCTCATTCTTCTTCTTCTTCTGATGCCAAAAGATGTGCTCTAATGCAAGTCTCGTTTGCTTCTGGATTGTTGCCCAGACCGCCATCTATTTTCTTCAGTAAAACTGAATTTTAGACCATCAATCTCTTCTTAAGAAACAATAGCTCTAAATGGGTATTACGTAATAGCTTGATGAGAACTCGCAAGCCTTGAACTTCTTCAGGTATATTAGAAGATATACATGAACCGAGACTTCATATTATTTCAAAGTGGATACACTGAAGAAACCAGATCTACAGAACATCACGAGAAACTGAGGGAGTGATATCCATGATGTTCATGCGTGTAGTTTATTTTAGGGGCAGCAACAACAGAGCATCTCCAAGCAGTACTCGCAAGTCTCGAAGCAGCAGAAGCAGCAACACAGCGCGAACAGGCTGCACTTTCCAAGACCATTGCCACAAAAGGAAAGAAAAACATCAATACGCATGAAGCGATGACAAAGGATATGATGATGATGATGATGACGACCACGATACACAGGTTTTCGTGAAACTATGTCAAACAGATGTGGTCTTAGATCGTATGTGATTGATCACTGCGAGACATGATTAGCAAAACGCCAAAACTTAGACCATTGTTAGTGGATAAAAAGGACGAAAGAGAGAGAGACCACTGATGAACGATTGCGAGTGATGACCGCAAGAAAAAGAAGAAGAAGAAGAAGAAGAGATCAACCAGGCGTAGAGGCAGCCTCTTTCTTCATGGCGCCGACGGACGTGATCGAAGTGCGACACTTGCTGATAGCCCGGCGGAGCAAACATCTCTCTCTCTTTCTCTCTCTCTCTCTCTCTCTCTCTCTCTCTCTCTCTACCTCTTCTGCGATCAGAGCTCGGAGTACAGCAAGAGAGAGCAGAAGATGATGAAGGTGAGTTGAAGAAGGCTGAATGATGCCATTGAGGAAAGAAAAAGGAAAAGATGGATACTGTTCTTTTCTTGAAATTATCCAAAAAGAGAAAATGAAAAATGAATACGCCATGAGAGACACAGAAGGAAGCTTGGTGGCAGCTTCCTATTTCGCTCGTTTCTCTTATCCTCCTCTTTCGTATCTTTGGAGGCTCTCGACTTAACTATTCAGTCGCTTGTATCAATCGTTTCGATCGATCTATCACATCATACTCGCTCGTTCATAAAAAAAAAAAAAAAGGGTTTTTTAAATTTTTTTTATAAGTTTTTTTGGGTGGGGGGGGGGGGGTTGGGGGTGGGTTATCGGGGAAAAAAGGGGGGGGGGGAAAGAGAGAGGTTTGGATTTTTTAAAAATTAAAAAAAAAAAAAAAAAAAAAAAAAAAAATTTTAAAATTGGAAAGAGGGGGAAGGGGGGGGGGGGTTTGGGGGGATGGGGAGTTTTAATTTTTTTTTAAAAAAAAAATTTTTTTATTTTAAAAATTTTTTTTATATTTTTTTTTTTTAATAATAGGTTTTTGGTTTTTGTTGTTTGTTTGAAAGGGGGGGGGGGGTGGGGGGGGGGGTTGGGTTGGGGGGGGGGGGGGGGGGGGGGGGGGGCGGGGGGTGGTTTGTTGTGGGGGGTTGGGGGTTTGGTTTGGGGGGGTGGGGGGGGGGGGGGGTTTGTTTTTTTTTTTTTTTTTTAATAAATTTTTTTAATTTTATAATTTTTTTTTTTTTTTTTTTTTTTTTTTTTTTTTTTTTTTTCCTTCCACCTTGGGTTTTTTGAATTTTTTTTTTTTTCCCCCATAAATTTTTCCCATTTTCAAAATATTTCATCTCTAACGGTAGAAATAGCGACTTAATGATATGGGCCATTGCACTATCCCACATCCTTCCCGGGCAAAACGCAGGTGTCTTTATATATTTGAATGGAACTTCTCTGATTTCCCATTCAAAGAGGGGTTGACGTTATCTTTGAAATTTCACGTAATGGACAGCTCCGGATTTTATATGTTTCTTTTTCCACTCTAGATTTTAGAACATTCATTAAACTAGATCTTATTCTAGCGGTTGTGATGCTGCAAGAAGAGCCAAAATTAAGTTCAGCGAAAATCAGTATCACTCTCCTTAGGAAGATCATCAAGTGGGATGAAGTTGATTATTCATTAACAACCCCAATAGGACATATGTAACATCATTCCATTACATCCACATGATGGAAAAATCAGCAATCACTTTGGCGAAAATTTTTGACAATTTTATCATCTAAACGTTTATGAATATGTCCGCCCAACGATGTTAAATGTATCCATCAATCCTTTACAATTGAAATTTAGTTGAACTCACGTTCGAAGTTAAGGGTGCGTTTATTTCACAAAAAATGAATAATTTGGAAAACATATTTCTAAATAATAGCCAGTAGCGCTTGAAATAATTAGTCAATGAAAAATGTTTTTGTTACCAATAACAATTTATGTCTAAATATTTTCGTGGACGATGGAAAAAAATTTCATCGATTCATTTTTGTAAATGATAATAAGCTATCATTTTCAAAATAAAATTTTTCAAATTAATCATTTTCCGCGAAACAAATGGACTCTAAGAGATAGTCGCCAGAATCCTAACTATTTGAGAGAGCTTCGGCTCCGTTTTGCACTTTTAGCTTATGATCCTTTGACCCATTTTATTACAAGGTTTATGGTTTATCATAAAAAAGTCGGTACTCGTCAACATTGTCAATCAAATCGACCCCGCAAATTATATCTCATAAAACTTTTAGGTGCGCCGAGACACGAAATAATTACCCAAAATAAATATTACTGTTTTAAAAATATTTACTTTTTCTCGAAAAGTTATGCGAGAGTCCATAACTTTACTCTAAATAGATTTATTTTTCTGTCGGTGTCTTACATTTTTTGCTAATATATGGTCCACACAAAGGGTCATCCACAAGAAAATCTTGGACTTTTCTGGTGAGATTTTCTTGTGGGTGAGTGGATTAATCTGAGCCCTTTTTTTTTACTTTAATGTCGGAGACACATTATGTTAATTAATTAAGCGTGGGATGCATATGATTAACATAGGGACAACGCCATGCATCCTTGTCACTATGAGATGTGACTTAAGGCATGACGTGACTGTCACCGAGTCTTTTCATGTGACCACGTTTGTGTCCCTCAAATTTTTTCTTTCCGACCTTAATATCTTCAAATGAACTTTATAAAAATAAAATGTGCAAATGAGATGAACCATTAATATCATAAGCATACTAAGTATTGAAAATATTTCAACATCAAGTGTTACTTTCAAATTACCCCATCAAAAGGTAACACAAGAACAAGATTGATATGATGTTATAGTAGTCCGAATCACGAGAAGAACAGTCCTGCACCTTTTTAGGAATTTAATACCATTCGAGCCGTTAATGCAACCAAAAGAATGAGCCGGCCATCGTAATCTCACCGGCAAGCCTATGCTCCCGATCATAAATCGAATTACGACATATGTCGAACTGGGGACCAATTGAGCTATCGCGCTGAGTGGTAAATAATACAGGAGATATAAAATGGGGCATGATCCATCTTCGTTCTGTTCTTTTTGGGCAGCATCGTGCATGAAGATTGCTTGTGCATGAGAAGGGAAGTTTGACAAATACTAGCTTGATGGGTTATGTCGGCAGCAATCACGAGTCTTTCTTGATGCACCTACACAAGGACAAAAGCACTATCTGCCGTTCATCAAAGGTCATGCATTGATTAGGTAGAAGAATCTCATTCCCTATTTTTTTAGCCCAGACCAGACCAAAGAGAATTTTAGCATCACAACCACCCCAGAGTGGACAGAGCAACTGAAGAAAGAAACAGACCAAAAAAACATTAAAAAAAACTGAAGAAAGAACAAAAAATTGAAGCATAATGTCAAACTCAAATTGACAGATAGTTTCAAAACTTTAGAAGACTTGCATGTCTAACAGAACTCACACATATAGAAACAGGGCTTCCTGAGCCTGAAGAGAGGCAAAGTGACCTCTTTTGCCCATTTCTGTTAACCAAACTACTCGATGAGATGGGCACAACAAAGACGTGAGAACATGCCTTTGCAAGATCCAAAGTGCAGCTTTCAAGAACATAACAATAGGAAATGTAGCCAGACAAGACAAGCTCTACTATACATTGTCGAATTCCCATGTCAAACAGCAAAAATGTGCCTACCAGACATCCGAAAAAGAAGATGGCGTGATGACAATGTTCTTAGCAGGCACATCGGATACAACTTCCAAAGAATAAAAGCAAACATCCTGAGCCTAAGATACCGATACGAGAGGAACCATGGCTATGGACGATTTCAAGGGAAAGAGCTTCCCATTCCCACCAATCCCGCACACAAAAACCGCCATGCGGAAGTAAAAACTGCTCGCTTTTTAGGTCTACATTCATCTCAGAGATCAAACTCCACTAAAAATATTAAACTTGGCCTAACAAATGTACAGACATGACTCAATCTGGTCAGATTGCCGTTATTAGTTTTCCTTACTGAGTATACTCTCAGCAGGTGACGGAGCATGTGGCGGGTTCGACTGAAATGAAGATATTATTGAATACAGGTTGGACAGCGGTGGCGTTCTCCAAGCGTTCCCAGGTCGCTCTTCGCTTCTCGGCTGCAACATTCGACATTAAGTTGTCTTCTTCCAGCTTGCGTTGGCAGGCGGACACGAGCTCTTCGTCCATTTCTGTTAAAATCTTTTTTAGATTTCTGGTGAGGTTGAGCACAGCTTGGTTCCAATGGTTCTGTATGTTCTGCTCAAGAGATGAGAACACGAGGGGCAGAATCACCTGCCTGTTTTGAGTGACCAGATGAAGGACGTGCTCATTGTTCCATAGCAAATGGGCACGTTCTGCTACCTGCAGTAATTGAGAAATAAATGAGGTTCTACCATCAGGTCCAAATTTCAGTAACTTTTAAACAGAAGTCAAAATGCTATTCTTCTTTCTAACGTTCAGTAAATAAGTAAGATTAATTAAGTACACAGCAATACATCAATCTCTATATATAAGCAAGTTGATGAAAATTTACCTGGTAATGTGAGCTATTGAGACAGCATCCAATGCGCCGAAAGAGTGGGACCATGATCTTTTGGAATTCAACCAAACTAGTCATCTCTAAAACCTCTTCCAGCTCACTCAAGAACATCAGCTCCTTCTGGCTGTTCGTCAGGGGCCAATATTTCAATAGGCCCTTGATCACTTCACTGGCCAATTTCGGATCTTTTTCCGCAAACTGAATAACACAGTATGTTAGCTGTTGATGATACACACCCACTGACTTTGGTTTATGCAAAGGGATTAGAGCCTTCGATAAGAATATCTTATGTTCCTCCTTCAATGGCAATGCAAACCCACTAATTACACTTCCAAAGATCTCTAACAACTCAGCAATTCCATTGTGCCGTTCTGTTTCGAAAACAAAACGGTATATGATATTACTGACGGCCTTCCTGATAAAGGGTCTGTGTACCATAAACTTCCCATAAATTCGGTGCAGGATTGTTTTCAAGCAGTCTCTTTCTCTCGGATCCTCAGAATCGAAGAGGTCAAGCATCCTCAATAAAAAAGAATGATCTACGTATTTCTTTGCGACCTTTGCATCAAGAGAATTGTAACCGATAAAACGGAGTAGCAAGTCATACACGATTTGTAGATGTGACCATGCAGGGTCAAACATTGGTTCCTCATCCTCAGTTTCACCTCCAGAGCTATTTGACCGGTACTTCGGAGGGAAGACCCTAAACAAGTTGATTGCACACATCTTACACGTGGCAGCTATTGCCGGTTCATTGAACTTAGCTGATCCACTAGAGACAAATTCAACAAGCTCGATCAAAGTTTCATGCTTAGAATTTATTTCTGTGTAGTTCTTCTCAGGATCGCTGAAATCATAAACCTTGCAGCAGAAGTTCAACTTACTGATGAACAGGTTCTGCTTCTGGGAATTTGACACATCTTTGAATGACATAAATGGCTCAACAGCCTCCAGTCCTGTCATCATGCTAGCAGGGAAAACTGCAGACGACACCCTCTTGACAACATTAAATCGGCTTGAGAAAGTACCCCCTCCGATCATACATTG